ATCCCTTCTTTTATATATATATATATATATATATATATATATATTTTTTTTTTATTTATTATTTTTTTTTTGACATATACTCACACATAATTTTAATATTGATTTTGAATGAAATTTAATTATATATTGTATGTCATTGTTTTTACTAGAATTTGTATGTACTCCAATAACGAGAAAGAAGTCATGGTTGCTCCAATATCCACAATGATGGGAAACCTTTGCAAAAACACTTTGATGCTCAAGTTAAAAAAGAGTTTAAGTTAAAAATGAAAGCATTGTAGAATGATACATTGTGTTTCATACATAAGTAATTAATTTTATCTCTAAGTTTTGGGATGATATTGTATGATATCTTGGAGATATAATCTAATGATTATGTGAAAATATTGTTTCTGATAAGTAAAAATATTCTTGTAGATGAATATAAATTTCTTGGGAAACAAGCAAAGTCTCACATCGTTCAAACAAGAGGATAGACATGAGTTCATATACACACTTGTCTCCATTGGTTGAGAGGCCTTTTGAGAGATGTCCAAAAGCAAATCCGTGAGGGCTTGGGCCCAAAGCGGACAATATCTCACCAATGTGGAGACATGTGTATATGTGTGAAAACTCCCTCGGACCACAACAAGTGGTATCAGAGCCAATGGTCTGATCAGGTGACCGGCTCGAGGGGTATGATGGCTGGCAGGTGGATCCAAGTTTGGGATCCCTTGTGTCGAAAGTCTTCCTTACGATGGGTCCATGTGGAAGAGAGGCTTCCTAGTAACATGGAGGGTTAGGAGGCGTGTCCCGCTGTCATGAGGGAGGTCATGATGGAGTGGCAATGCAAGCACTCTGAGCGTGAGTGAGCTTTGTGGGACCACCATCAGATAATACTCGTAGTTTCCGCTCCAAGGGATGGGGTAAACCGTGGTCCTTTGTTTGAGGGGAGGATTGTTGGGATGCAAGTAAAGTCTCACATCGTTCAAACAAGAGGATGGACATGGGCTTATATACACAAATTTGTCTCCATTGGTTGAGAGGCCTTTTGGGTAATGTCCAAAAGCAAATCCGTGAGAGCTTGGACCCAAAGCGGACAATATCTCACTAATGTGGAGACATGTGTATATGTGTGGTAACCCCCCAGTGCACAACAAAACTATATAAGATTTCAAGTTATAATAATGGACTAAAGACCCTATGTGAACGAGTAGGAAAAGATTAAATTGAACCAAGTAGTATAATTATTATAATTTATACTTACATTTTTTAACAATATATTAACATATTATATTTTATTTATTTATTTATATATATATATATATATATAGTTTTTAGTGATAAGTATTGTATTATAATAAAATGTATTTTAATACAAGATAAATTTAATTTTTATTATAGTGTTTATATATTAGTGCGTGTAAGTCTCAAATTAATATATAAGGAAGAAAAGTGGATACACCGCAAACTTTTCCTTAGAATTCTTGCATGCTGATCTCATACATATTTCCTAATTTCAAACAATGTTCCCCACGCTTAGTTTTTAACCTTTTTGATTTAAATGATAACCATGCAATTTAGGGGGCCACTAATATCAAGCACAATAAGAATCACATTAAAAAATATTAGGAGAAAAATTACGGTTTTACATTTTATCTACCTTGTTTCTTTCTCAAGAAAACTTATTCAAACATTTTTTTTAGAAAATGAAAGTAATAATAATTCCGTCTTATGTTCTTTCAGTTTTCATACATTAATAGTTTGTAAATCTGAAGCAATAATTCACAAACTATTCACAATTTCCAATTCCTCCGAAACAGATCTAACGCAACAACATCCTTACATACATGCAATTTGTCGTCATTAACTTCAGAAATATATCTCTTTATTACAACGTACTCATCATAAATATTGATAAATTTCATTTCATTTCATTTTTTTAAGCCTGGAAATATGAGCTATTATCAACAAGGGATTTATAATTTTTTTTATGTCATATTAAGAATGCTTAGAGTATATATATTATGCAACTGTATAACCGTTTTACTAAAGCTTAAAATTTAGGTTTCGACATGGTAAAATAAAATATTGTGACTAAAGTTTAAAGTTGACTTACACAATAGTTAACCTATATAATAAAGCAACACACAAAATTAAAGTTTTAATATAAAAGACAATGGTTATGCAGTATATGATAACATATATATATATATATATATATAT